CCCTCCGCTCCCATTGGCCAGATGGCCCGGAACACGGCACAGAATAAAAAATAACTTTCCACTGGGCAACGTAGGGGACTGAAAAAAATTCCAGGGGAAGCACAGGGTACTGTTCTCACCTTTTCTTAGTATTTTAAAAATTGACATTTCATTGCCAAATAAATTATACATCCAGAAAAATCCATAGACCATAGATGGCTGTGTGACCAGGTCGGTGAGGACGCTCCGGCCCCACCACCGACTCCCGGGGAACACGAGCCGTTCCAGGAGCAGGCCGCACCCCAGACCCCCGGACCGGTCTGCCCATCTCTGCCGTGCCCGTAGCTCGTCCAGCCCTTCTCTCGACCTCACACACAGGTGTCCTCACGCGCCCGTCCGTCGAAAGGCCGGGGTCACGTGCGTTATCGGATGTTGCGGTTGGGACTGAAGTTTGTCAATGCAGTAAAACGAGCAGCGACACTGGCAAGAGCTCGGGGAGCCGCGGCTGCACACGCAGCTGCTTCCTCCGGACGACCGGCTCAGACGACCGGCTCAGACGACCGGCTTGTTGACACTGGGGAGGACAAACTCTCTGACAAGAGGAGGCCGCAGCCCGGTCTGGGGGCTAGAGCGCACGGGTGGACGCGGAGAGCAGGCCCGGGAGGCCGAGGGGGCCGGGGAGGTGGGGACCAGAGGCCCCAGTCTCCGGGAAAGGGATGGGCTCAGGTGACTTTTTAAGGCCGCTTCGTTCCTGAGGTTCCAACTCCCTGAAGTGCTGCTGTCCCCGTGAAGGGTCAGCCAGGAGGAAGCACTGCTTTCTATGGGGAGTCACAGGCTGCGTCTGGGGACAGGAAGTGGGTGTGACACTCCCTCTGCCCTCCAAGGTGGCTCTTAGTAAGGAGAGCAGGTTTCAGCCAGGGACCCTCTCCCGGCTGGCTTTAGTACTCTGCTCAATCTCGTTTCAAAAGCCTCCTTTCAAGAATGACGCAGTAACTTGTCATGTGACGTGACACGGTGCGGTGCCCAAAGGCTTCAGTGCGGACAGCCACAGAGGGGTCGGCCTCGCTCGTGGACACACAGCCTGCCGGTCACCCCCCAGGCAGGACACGAACGGCCGCCACGTCCCACCTCCGGTTTCCGAATGCAGAGGCATCAGGCCGCCCTCACGCCTTCCTTCCTGTCCATGGCATGTCCTGTGTGCGGGGGAGGGGAGGACGGAGCCCCGGGCCACTGGAACTTGGCCCGGCTGGAACCAGCCACCGCCAGTTCCTGGAGAGACACGAGGTGAGTCCAGCGAGCAGCCCAGAAGCCCCACTTCGCACGGGGGCAGTGGGACCTGCAGTGAGGAGGCGACTGCACAAAGCTGCCTCACAGGCGTGTGGTGGAGACGAGACGAGCCACCACAGACCCCGACGACCGTCACCAGGGCAGGTGTGGTGCTCTGGCCCACAGCGGGCCTTCTGCAGATGGAGGGAGCTCCGTGCCGGGGCCCCGACCTGCTGGGTGGCCTCGCCCGAGGTCACGCCTGCCTGAGGGCTTCTTGGCTGCGTCCGTCAACAGACCCTCACTGCGCACCCTGCTGAGCCTATGTGCCATCACCAGCCCGTGTGCCGTCACCAACTAGCCCATGTGCCGTCACCAGCCCGTGTGCCGTCACCAACTAGCCCGTGTGCTGTCACCAGCCTATCTTCCTGCGGTGGCTGGGAGGAGAGGGCTGGGCATTTCCAGCAGCTTAGCACCGTCAGGACCAGCCGCAGCTCACGACAAAGACCCTGGCCCAGTGGCTGAGCCCATCGCGTGGCGGCCACCTGGCGGTGTTCGTGACTTGGAGAACCGGGTGTGGTTCCCGTGCCCGGCTTCCACGTTGCGTGTCCAGGGCGAGGGTCTCATTGTTAGACACAGGTCCTTCCCTGAACGCACAGTCTAAAAGGCAGCGGCTGATTCGATGCTGAGGTGCGTGCGCCCATGTGGGTTTCCCCAGCTCGGGAGAGACAGGTGACTCTCCCGCTGTGACGACCTGAGGCCTGCAGCCTGGCTGCGGGGCGCGGCTGGACGGCCTCACGGACATGCGGCTCACCGCCTGGCGGGGAGAACCCTCACTCCACACTTCATCCGGAGCCTGACGCTACAGACTCGGGCGCCCTGGGCTGGTCTCCGGGGACTGTCTCCGTGATGGGCAGGCCTGGGACAGCAGTCTCGCGGCCCGTCCAGGCGCCCAGAGCGGAAACTACCGACAGTCACACGAAGACACACGGCAGCGGCAGGGCCCTGGGATCCCCCCAGTGCCGGATGGGGAGGAGCCCCCTTGGGGCTCAGGAGGGTGGGCCAGGCGTGCTGGGCAAGCCCAGCCTGCGGCAGGGGATCAGGCTGGGTGAGCAGCCTGGGTGAGGAGAGGCCAGTCCCCTGGGGCCTGGAGGGACTGTGAAGGCCACCTGGGGGGCAGGCACGGGGCACAAGCTGGTTCAGGACAATGGGCAGGGCCGGGACTACGTTATGTGACAACATCACACTCGGGTCAGCTAACAAAGCTGGCGTCTTCCAAAGGGAGCTGGAGCTCGTGCAGGACGGTCTCTGGGCCTGGGCCCGTCCACAGCCCCACGGGAGCCATCAGAGCTTGGGATCCAGGGACTGGGACTGGGAGTCCGGACACGCGGCCGGCTTGCGGTCAAGGGGAAGGGACAGGCGGGGTGAGTGCTGGTGGCGGAAGCGGGGCTGGAGCGGAGCCGGGCGGCATCTCTCCTGCCCTGTTCTAGCCGGGCTCCCCCAAGCTCTGGCCTCAGGCCGTCACGTCACTGTCCTGCTGGGCCCTTCTGCTGGACCCCCGCCCCCCACCCTCTTCCCTTCCGCCCCCAGGGGAGGTCTGACCCCTGCCTGCCCTCGCGTGGAGCCTTCAGGTGCGGTTAGCCGGGATCCCGCTAGGGTCTGCGCGTCTGTCACCCCCACGTTCACATCTTGTACCATACCCTCAAGGTGATGGCCGGCCCAGCTCTGCACCCCTCATTCTATGAGAGCTGCTGAAGCACAGTGCAGGGGTACGTGCTCACACCTGCCCACTGTGTCTAACTGGTGCCCCCCGACCCGCCTCCATCTTTGAGCTGGACGCTAGACTGAACCCACACCACGTGGCCCAGAGTGGGGCAGGAACCCGGGACGGCACAGCCAACACACCTGTGCACACCTGTGCACACCTGTGCACACCTGTGCACGCACAGACAGGGCAGGGTCTGCATTGACTTCTACCTGCGTGAGGTCCACATGGAGTGACAGGCAGGTTTTCACTTGGTACGACACCTGGGTACTCTGAATGGGGACCTCGATGTTCCTGAAAAACCTGCAGAGACACAGACGCTGACCCCTCTGATGCCAAGAAAAGGCCGCCTCCCCAGCCTCCCGCCAGTGTCCGCAGGCAGAGGCCCTTCCAGCCAGGCCATGTTCAGGGACCTCAGTTCTCCTCCCAGAATGTCACTGTGGCCACCAGCTTTGCTGGGTGCCCTTGACTGAGGGGTGCAGCTCCCTGTCTGCCCCTTCTTGGGAAGCACCCCCAGCGCAACACACATTCCTCCAGCCCCTGCAGAGGTGCCACCGAGCAGCTGGAGCTGGGCGGGAGGCAGAGGGACGCAGGCCGCTCCTGGGGTTCTGGGCCACATCTGGCTGACTTGGCCAGGTGGGGACCAGCCAGAGTGTTTCCGCGCTCGTGCTGGACGCTCGTGTATGAGCCTCCCTGAACCCCGAAAGCAAGCCCAAGCCCACACGTGGCTACTTATAGCTGTGTCACCAACCGGCAAGTCACTGCTGTGAATCGGAGTTGTCGGCGAGGACCCCCAGGCTCCCGCCCTCCGCAGAAATGCCCCAGCCTGCAGCAGAGAGTCCGTGACCACAGCCGGCCGCTCAGACCGGAGGCCAGACCCTCCATCGGCAAAGAGGCAGGACCACGAGCCTCGCTTCACTGTGCTCTGGCAGCGAGCCTGCGGCGTCCACCCAGGGTCAGCTGTGCCCTGAGGTCATGGGAGCAGAGAGGCACCCAGTCCCCACTGCCCCGGCCTGCAGGGCGCAGGGCTGGAGGACATGCTTCGCTCCACTGGGAGCACTCTGTCCCTTCCCTAGACTCTCCCTACCTTCCCACTGGCTCACCTGCTTTGAAACACATGCACAAGCCCCACGGAGCAGAGGGCATGCTCCAGGACACAGGAAGCACCGCGCCAAGCGACAGCGCCCGGCGCCTGGCCTCCAGCCCAGTCAAGCTGCACAGCCCACGTCCCAGCTAGGGACCCCGGGCCAGGAGGTGACGCTGACCCCGGGCCAGGAGGTGACGCTGACCCTGGGCCAGGAGGTGACGCTGACCCCCAGGCCAGGAGGTGACGCTGACCCCCATACCAGGAGGCAGCTCCAAGGACCCTGTCTAGACCAGGAGGCAACTAGGGCTGGTGTTGCCACCAAATGTCTATTCTTCAAGAAGCTCCGGCATTTCTGACTTTCACGTGAGCCCCCCCGTTTGGCACTGACTCCCGGCAGACAGTGTGTGACATCGTGCCCGTGCTGGCAGCATGGTGCACAGCAGGCCGCCGCGGGACCAGCCACTCTGCTCGCACGGCTGCGGCTCTGGAGCGCCATGTCCACATGCTGGTGTCCCTCCTGCCATCCAAGCCCACGGCGGGGGTGGTGACCGGGGCCAGGTGAGGAGCTAGCGAGAGCAGGCCCCCTGGGAGCAGCGCCGTCCCCGGCAGGACAGGCGCGTGGGTGCTGGGCCACGAGGCCTCATGCAGCCTTGCCTTCGTGGTCCTCCCGGGCAGAGTGTGTGGGCGCGGGCCAGCCGACGTGTCCCAGGGCGCGCAGACTCTGCAAACGTCTTCACTGAGACCTGGGATGGGCAGGAGCCCGGGGACAGTCCAGGTCCTAGCGAAGGCCGGATGAGAATTAATCTAGATGTTTCACACCTTAAAGTGACCTGCAAACACGTGCAGATTCACTGTGCTTTGTGTCTGCGAGACAGACGGTGGAGACAGGAACTGACACCGTTCGGGCTCGGTCAACATCAGTGACTTTATTACACATCTGTCTGGCAGGACACAGCTGCTCCCCCCGCTGCCACAGCCCAGGGGACGTGCAGGCCACGGGGAGACGGCATCTCAGTCATCCGGCAGAACGTGGTCTGCTCGGCATCATTAAAGCTTAAATCACTTCTAACAATGAGATAAATAGGGATTGCACATCTTGAGCTAAACACTATAAAGTCAAAGCACCCGTGAGGAGACCACGGTTGAGAGCTCCGTGCCACATGACAGTTGTGAGTCCTACATGATTTTCACCACCAATGAACACGTTTTTTGCATACAGTTCAAAGGTGCTCTCCCTAAAAATAAACTTTTGATTTTAATTGCATACTCGTAGCAAGAATAAAATGGACATGTGTCAGTAACACTGCTGGGTTAGTGTACAGACTACACCTGGGCACGACAGTGAAAATGATGTTCCCTGGGGCTCAGTGTCAGGCAGCTGGGGAAAGGGGTCAACGCCCGCCCCGAGGGCCGCTTCCTGACAGTCCAGGGACGTCGGGGCTTGGCAGCCACGCGCCCAAGGGGCCGCCAGCTCGTAGAGAAATCGGTCGCTATCTCATCTTAAAGTCTACAGAGCAAACCAAGCGAGAATTGGGGTCTAAGTTGAGCACCTGCTGGCACTTAGTCAATTTGAAATGGCTCTAAAATCTAGACAATTCTGATTACTACATATTGACCTCATTTTGTCATTTGAGTTAATACAACAGGAATAGGAAATTCTTGTTTTAATTCAGCTTCTTTGATTAAAAAGAAAATCTCACAAGATTTAACCTCAACTACCATCCCACATTCACATGGGGTCAGGACATTCCAAGGGTCTGTCCCCACATGATGTCTTCATGCCGCTGTGCCACTAGATGGCACTGCTGCGCGGTTGGTCATGAATTTCATACCTCGAGAAATTTTAACAATGCAACAGAACATTGTTGGAAACAGGGCAATTGTTTCCAACCAAAAAGAATACAAGTTTCGAGTAAGACACAAAATGTTGACCGTGTGACTAGAACGCGGCCTGAGCACGCCCCCCACACAGCCTCTGCCACACGAAGGCCCTTCGCGTGCCGGCCTCAGGGGCGTGCAGGCCCAGCTCCAGACCGCCGCAGCGAAGCCGGCCCCGAAAAAGCGAGTCGGACTCTCTGCCAGCGGAGACTCGTGCCTTCCTCTGTGGGGCGCGCTGAGGCCTGCACTCCCGCGAAGCCGCCTCCCAGCAGCCTGCGAGGCCGGCGCCCCAGACCCCTCTCCCGATGACGGGCACGGAGGGCCTGGGGAGCTCGCGGAAATGAGCCACGAGAGACCACGGAAGGAGGAAGGCAAAAATCTGCTCCTCGAGGCAAATCGAGGCCTCTGAGGTACTTCAGGGCCACTTAGAGATGAACGGCGTGACACAGGTCAGTGTTGCTCGGGGACGGTGCCGGGCACAGCGCCCACTGCCCCTCGCCGCGAGGCCGTCGCCGGCAGGCCCGGGTCCCACATGCACCTGGTCCGCAGCAGCTACTGCCCCTTCTTCTGGAGCGCCTGGCCGCTGGTCCCATCGGACCGGCCACCTTTGGGTTGCGGTGGGGCGAAGTTCCAGTCCACCGGATTGAGGAGCTGCTGAGTCTTCTTGTGGGTCCAATAGGGGTTGATGAGCAGGGTCAGGAGGCCCAGGCCGGACATGAAGACCGCCAGGTGGGGTGGGTACAGGCTGGCCGCCAGGCCGGCCCAGTGCTGCAGGAACACCCACCACATGTGGTAGGTCACGACCATGCGGCAGTGGAACATGTGGACCATCAGCCACTGATTCGCCTTCCAGAGCAGGGAGTCCGACCAGCCAGCCTGCGGGGACAAAACAGGTGCACTGTCAACACGGCCACCAGAGTGCCCTCGCCCCGCCCAGCGATGCCCTGCCAAGGTCCCCCTCACCCCGCTGCTGGAGGAGGCCCCCACCCCGACCCTGGCTGCCGGATCTGCTGGAGCTTCAGGGCGAGACTCAGTCTTTCTTCTCTCTACCTGGAACTCGCACGTGGTCAGTAAACAGGCGGTGCTGGCGAGAACACGGCAGAGCACGTGCTGGTCTCGGCGCCGAGCTCCCAGACCGCGGCGGCAGAAAGTGGCTCAGAACAGAGCAGCTGAGGACGAGATACGCTCCCTGGTTTGTGCGGTTTTTGATACCTTCATTCCAGTAGTCCTTGGACACGAGCCGAAATGAATTTGACTTAAAATTATTCTAAATGTACTTTAAAACTAGTTTCCAACTTGAAGATGGTACATACCAGACTGTGGGCACAAAGTGGTGACCTCATGGCAGGGACCTCATCAGCCCCAGGCCAGCGGGCCCTAGGCCAGTCCAGCCCCAGGACAGTCCAGTCCCAGGACAGTCCGGCCCCAGGCCAGTCCGGCCCCAGGACAGTCCGGCCCCAGGCCAGTCCGGCCCCAGGCCAGTCCGGCCCCAGGCCAGTCCGGCCCCAGGCCAGTCCGGCCCCAGGCCAGTCCGGCCCCAGGCCAGTCCGGCCCCAGGCCAGTCCGGCCCCAGGCCAGTCCGGCCCCAGGCCAGTCCGGCCCCAGGCCAGTCCGGCCCCAGGCCAGTCCGGCCCCAGGCCAGTCCGGCCCCAGGCCAGTCCGGCCCCAGGCCAGTCCGGCCCCAGGCCAGTCCGGCCCCAGGCCAGTCCGGCCCCAGGCCAGTCCGGCCCCAGGCCAGTCCGGCCCCAGGCCAGTCCGGCCCCAGGCCAGTCCGGCCCCAGGCCAGTCCGGCCCCAGGCCAGTCCGGCCCCAGGCCAGTCCGGCCCCAGGCCAGTCCGGCCCCAGGCCAGTCCGGCCCCAGGCCAGTCCGGCCCCAGGCCAGTCCGGCCCCAGGCCAGTCCGGCCCCAGGCCAGTCCGGCCCCAGGCCAGTCCGGCCCCAGGCCAGTCCGGCCCCAGGCCAGTCCGGCCCCAGGCCAGTCCGGCCCCAGGCCAGTCCGGCCCCAGGCCAGTCCGGCCCCAGGCCAGTCCGGCCCCAGGCCAGTCCGGCCCCAGGCCAGTCCGGCCCCAGGCCAGTCCGGCCCCAGGCCAGTCCGGCCCCAGGCCAGTCCGGCCCCAGGCCAGTCCGGCCCCAGGCCAGTCCGGCCCCAGGCCAGTCCGGCCCCAGGCCAGTCCGGCCCCAGGCCAGTCCGGCCCCAGGCCAGTCCGGCCCCAGGCCAGTCCGGCCCCAGGCCAGTCCGGCCCCAGGCCAGTCCGGCCCCAGGCCAGTCCGGCCCCAGGCCAGTCCGGCCCCAGGCCAGTCCGGCCCCAGGCCAGTCCGGCCCCAGGCCAGTCCGGCCCCAGGCCAGTCCGGCCCCAGGCCAGTCCGGCCCCAGGCCAGTCCGGCCCCAGGCCAGTCCGGCCCCAGGCCAGTCCGGCCCCAGGCCAGTCCGGCCCCAGGCCAGTCCGGCCCCAGGCCAGTCCGGCCCCAGGCCAGTCCGGCCCCAGGCCAGTCCGGCCCCAGGCCAGTCCGGCCCCAGGCCAGTCCGGCCCCAGGCCAGTCCGGCCCCAGGCCAGTCCGGCCCCAGGCCAGTCCGGCCCCAGGCCAGTCCGGCCCCAGGCCAGTCCGGCCCCAGGCCAGTCCGGCCCCAGGCCAGTCCGGCCCCAGGCCAGTCCGGCCCCAGGCCAGTCCGGCCCCAGGCCAGTCCGGCCCCAGGCCAGTCCGGCCCCAGGCCAGTCCGGCCCCAGGCCAGTCCGGCCCCAGGCCAGTCCGGCCCCAGGCCAGTCCGGCCCCAGGACAGTCCGGCCCCAGGCCAGCGGGCCACTCTGGACCAGGGAGCGTGCGGACTCTGCTCTTCGGTCCCCTCTCTGCCAAACTCAAGCTGCAAAACCTTCCTCAGCAGTTCCATGGCATGGCGTCCCCTCCCAGGATGGGACACCGCATTGCACTTGCAGAAAGAAGAAGTCCTTGGAGAGAGAGGCACAGGCACGGAGGGACCATCCTGAGGTCCGGCGAGGGGCTGAGCTTTACTCAAGCTGCACTGCCCGGCCGTGAAGGGGACACAGCAAAGCGCCCGAGAGTGACTGCGATTAACTTTATGTTGGCACAGAACGCGCACGCACGGCTCTGAGCAAGGGAAACGAGAACCAGTGACGTAGAGACTGCCTTAAAAACGTGTAAGCAAAACGGGAACTCGAAGCACGTGGCGGCCACACGCGCTTCTAGCACCGGTGACAGCAAGTGACCTGTGGCAGCCCACGGAAGCGCCGCCTCCTCTGTGCAGCTCAGACGCTAACGAGCCCAGGTGCGCCAGCCCTTCCAGGTCTGGACGAAACACGCGCGCCAAGACAGGTGGGGACGAGAGACGGTGTGGCTGACGGTGCAGGGGGCGGACGCTCGGTGTCGGTGACGCCGTGGCCTGCGTCCGGCCTGTGTGGGCGGGACTGGCTCCGGCTTGCGCTGGGCACCAGCCCCTGAGGAGTGCGGCTGGCTGTCACAGACGCAGCCAGCCTTCGGCCTGCCCCAGATGCAGAGGACGCGTCAGGCCGGGGCATGCGCCTCGCCTCCAGGCACATGGGCTGCGTTCTGCTAAGGCCAGCGTCAGCCGGGACGCACTGATGCCGCTGGCACCGCAACTTAGCCTCGCCCGCCCGGGGCTCCCAACAACACCCAGGCACGCCGGCAGCGCACGTGCGCGGGGAGCACACGCACCTCCCCTCGCGACCGCCTGGCTGACGGGGGCTGCCACTGCCCAATGTCACCTGAGAGCGTCCTACGTGTGGCACTGGCCCGAAATGATCAAAATTCAAAGTCCACTTTGTACGGAACGGTGTGGCATCACGCAGCTGTCCACGCAGGCCGCGAGCCGTCTGCACTGCAGAGTGACTGCTGCGAGTCTCAGCGACGTCCGCCGCCGCGCAGTTACGTCACTTTGCAATCAAAACTCACAAGTTACAGAACTTAAGTCACATGTTAAGTCACTGATTTCATAACTGGAAGTCTGTACCTTGTGACTTCCTTTGTCCTCACTGTCCCCCAACCCCGGCAACGACCACGCTGTTCTCCGTATCTAAAGGTTCGTCTTTTTTTAGAATCCGCGTATAAGCGACCTCATTCAGTAGTTGTCATTCTGACTCAATCACGTGACATAATACCCACCGGGTCCATCCACGCTCTTGCAAATGGCAGAATTTCCTTCTTTCAATGGCCGAATACATCCCACTGGATGCATGGGCCACCTCTGCCATGAATGGACACAGGTGGTGTCCGCGCCTCTGCCATTTCCCACTGCGCCGGCCCGACTCAGGCCCGCCCGCCCGCGTGCGCTGACTTCCCATCTTCCGGACGAGGCTGTTGGGACAGCAGCCAGTGCACCTCCCCGTGGCTCTGATGGGCACTGCCCTGACCCCTAGTGGTGTGAGCGGCTCAGTCCCGGCGGCCGCTAACGCGGAGTGACTCTGAAGAGGCCCCGGGTGGAGACAGGCACGTTATGTCCTTGGATGGGACACGTTACCATTTTCACCAACTGAACAAAATTAGTTCAAAGCTACAGAGTAAATCTACAAGGGATGAGAAAGATCTGAAAAGGACCACGATGTGCCTTACCCAATAATGACGTGTGCCACAGCAGAACTGTAAGAGGTGGTACCAGTAAACATAAAATGCGTAAATAAATAAAAGCACAGGAAACACTGATCCTGGTCACTCAGATCAGAGGGGACAGTGACTGTATCCGGACCACTGGCTAACTCCCGGGGAATTAGCTGGAGCTGACATCCCAGTTCACTTAAAAATAATTAAAAATAATTTTCAAATGCCTAAAAGAAAAAGAAAACCGCAAAAATGCTAGAAAGGGCCACAGGGAAATGGTTTCGCCATCACTGTGTGGGCGAGGGCACGGAAACACGACTGAATCACGACTCGTACGCGTGAAAACTGAGAGGTCCGACTACGTAAAACAGTTTCCGAACAGCAGGGAAAAATTTAAAGATTGTGTGGCAAAATAGTTGACAAATAACAGACTATTTTTAATGTTTTTACAAGTCATCAAATAAACTCCTACAAAATAAAAGGCTAATTAATCCTCACTAGGAAAAAAACACGAGCAAAGCAATTTATAAAACAAATAGGAATGTCAAACATGAAAAAGTGTAATACAATCAAATAAATAAAAACTCAATTTTCTTTTTTACTTAGATTGGCAAAAATTACAAAGATTGATCATAGCTAATGTTGAAGTTGCAGAAATAGGACCTTTCCATACCTCTGGTGGGAGTATAAATGCATACTATCTTTCTAGGAGAAATTTTGGCCAATTTTCCATTATTTTCCTCACTAAAAGTGGTTTTAATTATTACTATTCACACCAGAAACACGAGCTTTTACTCGTATAGTAATTATGCTTTTAGAAAACGGAAAGCTTGAGCACTGAGTGTTCTTCGGTCTTACTCGGGCACTAAAACGTTTGTATTGACGTCACCAAACGCTCTGAGAGCCATGGCACAGGAACACAGCCTGCGATGCCACACGTGCTCAGGCTACGCGTGTGGCCCTGGGGGCCGGTGGGTGGCAGGGCGCAGTGTGAATGTGAGTGGCCGTTTACCATCACCTAATTTACAGCAGGGACTGGTCTCTTTATGGATGAATTATACTTAGTCGTTTGAGTCCAGTGTAATTCATTTATTATCAATTCTAAACAATCTTTCAGAATCAAATTCAAGAAGGCAGTTATAAGAACAAGCCACTACTCTGCGGTGTGGACCTGTCTTGACTTAGTGGTGATACTAAGGTTTCACGTGAAAACACCCTGTGAACGTGTCATGAAAGATGGCAGAAATCTGTGCTGAAAACGCGACTTTAAGAACTTTAACATGAAGAACATTTTGACATCAAAATGAGAATGAAGATTGTATAAAGATATACATTTAAAAAATGATACTTTTAAAAACCTAAAGGAAACAGGTTCTAGATAAACAGTGACGCCAGATCCCAACACGTCTAACTGCTCGTAACATGACCTATTCCAAAACAAAAGCCAAGCAAACGAACACGGTGGGTGACGGACGTCAGCAAGACATCCCTCCGGACACCCCGAATCAGCGACAACGCACACTCGGACCCTTTGTGAGAAATCGCAGACCAGGTCAGGCCCCCGCGCCACAGGACAGTGTGACAGCAGACTCGCCAGGGGCCCCGGCCAGGTGCGGCTCCCACCTCCACCCAGCAGACGGAGGAGCCGGTTCGTGAGTCCAGCGCCCAACTCTTCCGAGGCATTCCCAGAGGAAGGCCTCCTGTCTTGTCAGTCCTGGAGCTGGGGCAGGCCGGCCACAGCCTGGCTGCCCAGTGGGGAACAGACCTGGGCTGGCAGACACCACTGCTCTGTGCCACCCCCAGCTAGGCTGAGCGAGCTGGTGCAGCCCACCTCCCTGGGGAGGGAGGGGGCTGACGACCTCCAGGATGCTGGCCGAGCCGGCTGGCGGATGTCTGCTGTACCAGGACAGGATGTGAAGACTGGAGCAGGTGCTTCTCTGCCTCACGCAGAGACACCGACAGAGAGTCAGGGAAAACGAAGACTCAAAGATGTTCTGGACAGAGGAATGAGAAACATCCCAGGAAGAGACTCTAATGAAACAGTTGCACGATTCACCCAGCAGAGCTAAAATCATGTCGTAAAGATGCTCACTGAAGTCAAGAGAACAAGGTCAAAGATGTTCTGGACAGAGGAACGAGAGACGTCCCAGGAAGAGACCCTAATAAAACAGCTGCACGATTCACCTAGCAGAGCTAAAATCACGTCGTAAAGATGCTCACTGAAGTCAAGAGAACAAAGCATTAACAAACTGAGAATTCCAACAGAGACAGAAATCTTTTTTAAAAAGTACCAAACAGAATTCAAGGAGCTGAGGAACACAATAACTAAACTGAAAAATTCACCAAGGAGGTTCGCCAAAGCCATCCACAGACTAATACTCTCTCTATCAAAATCCCAACAGTACTTTCAGAAATAAAAAAATAATTCTAAAATTCATAGGAAACCACAAACAGCCATATCAAAATTGAGAAAAAATAAAGTTAAAAGCATCACACGTCCTGATTTCAAACATATGACAAAATTATAGTAAACAAAACAGCATGGCACTGACATGCAGACAGACATACAGACCGATGGAACAGAATCGAGACCCAGAAATAAATCCACATACGCATATGGTCAGTTAATTCAGGACAAAGGAGTCAAGAATATACAAAGGGGAAAGGACAGTCTCTTCAAAAAATGGCACTGGGAAAACTGGACAGCCACATGCAAAAGAATGAAATTAAACCTGTATCTCATACCACACACAAAAATCAACTCAGAATCAACTGACGATTCGAACGTTAAGACCCAAAACTGTAAAACTCCCAGAAGAAAACAAGGAAAAAGTTTCGTGACATTGGTCTTAGATATGATTTCATGTCTGTGACACTAAGAGCACAAACAACAGAAACAAAAGTAAACAACTGGTCAACATCAAACTGGAAAACTCTGCAGAGCGAAAGGAAACCACCGAATCAGGGCAGAGGCAAACCTCAGGTGAGAGGAAGAGGCTGCAATTCACACATCGCGGGAGAGACTCATCCCCAACGTACATGACGAACTCCAACTCCATATCGAAAGAGGAAAGAATCTGATCAAAAAATGGACTAAGGAGTTGAAAACGCAGATTTCCAGAGAAGACATTCACATGGCCACGACTACATGAAAAATGCTTAAAGCCACTAGTCATCAGAGAAATGCAAATCAAAACCCAAATGAGATATCGCCTCACACCTGCCAGGATGGCATCGTCGAAACACCAGACAAGCGTCGCTGAGGACGCGGAGAACCTGGAGCGCCGGCCCCGGGGGTGGGAATGGAAGCAGCAGCTGCGGTGGGAACAGCAGAGATTTTTCCCGCATGGCGCAGTAACCCCGCCTCTGGGTACTGACCCACGGTCACTGAATCCAGGACCTTGGAGTGTCACTCGCGCCCCCACGCCCACTGCAGCATCGTCCAACAGCCGAGATGTGCAGACGGCCTGAATGCGCGTGGCAGATGAACAGGTGAGTGTGTAGTGACAAACCATTCGGCCTGAAGAGAGAAGGTTCTACAATCCGCAACACGGATGCACCCTGAGGACGCGACGCTGAGAGAAACGCGCTGTCACAGAGGGATGACACTGCGTGTCGGCCGCACCTGAGGGCCCGCCAAGATCTAGCTCACAGAGGCGAAGGGCGGAAGGGTGGGACGGGGCCGGAGGGGAGGGGGCCAGGGAGACACTAACCGCCAGGCCAGACGTCTCAGCCAAAGAAGAGTGAGCTCTGGGGACCCGCGTGTGACAGCGGCCCACAGCCAACGGCACTGCGTCAGGCACTGAAGAGCTGCCGGAGAGGGTGGGTCTCCGGTTGAGTACAAAGTAGCGTAACAAAGTTTTTAAGAGATACGTATGCAGACATGTATACGACTTCAATTTTTAAAAAAGCATTTAAAGAACAAAAAAAAATCATGCTTCCGAAGGCTCAGACACTGCCTGCTGAGTCAGAGGAGCCACTGAGTTTCCTGCCACCGACTAGGGTGAGAGCCCTTGCTACACTCCCCTAGGGTGACGGAGCCAGCGGCCCAAAGAGTTATTTAAAATTAACAAAACGGAATTCGGCCCACGTGAGTTTGTCCCCGATGTTGTAGGCCGTAACTCAGTCGGCTGATGACTTCACTGCCCACAACGTGCAGTCAGGTGCGCAGGACACGGGGAGGGCGCCCTGCGCTGCCCCGCCAGCTCTCCGCTCCTGCTGCCGAGGGCGGAAGCGCCCATGGGCTCCCCGGCCTGCAGAGCGCACTCACCTTTAAGAGCATCCAGGAGATGCAGGTGAACGGGGTGCTCATCTCCAGGAGCAAGGCGGTCATGGCGAGATAGTGGCCGGCTCTGAGATTGACCACTATGCCGAGGAACCCAAGGAAGGCGAAGAGGTGGTGGAGAACCAAAAACCAGTCAAAAGTCCGGAAGACTGAGTTGGACAGGTGGACCGCCACGTTTTCAAAGAAGAAGAACCCGGTTGCCGTGGCGATGTGAAACCAGGACCAGCTCTGCTGGCCGCACGCTTTATCGGCCTGCAGGACGGGGTCCACCAGCAGGGCCCACAGGCCCGCGGCGCTGCTCTGCACACCGAAGACGGCGCGGGTGGCCGCCAGATTCCAGAAGACCTTCTCCTTGGCCACCAGAGAACGGTACGTGGCACTCAGGGAGGACGACAGCTGGTGGCAGACGACGGAGACGCCCAGGTAGAAGACAAAGCCAGCGCCCACCAGCGTCACGCGGACCTTCCCGGAAGCGTAGTCCAGATCGAAGATGCTCTCTGAGGCCCCTGTGCCACTCGCAAGAGCCATCGTCCCGGACTGTACAGCAAAGGCGCCCCACGGCCAACACAGGGCTTTGGGCCCACAGCACGTCGTGTCCGAGAAAACAAAGTCCAGGCAACAGTCTCCAGGGTTGTCACGCAGGTATCTTCAACCTGAAGAAGAAAAGATAAGTCACGTCATGTTGACGGAACCGAAGCTAGGACACAACACGACCCCAGGACCACAATGGCGTTGCAACAAAAAATACTTCTAAAAATGCTTTGCCTCCTCCTGACGCAGATTCAAAGACGCATGAACAGGCAAGAAAACATCCATCGCTCGGGCAGTCGGACGGGAGAAGGAAAGTAAGATGAAGGCCGGGCGGGCGGCGTCCGGGCGGCGGGAAGGCCTAAGCGCACAGTCCCAAGAGCCTCCAGCCTCCAGGCCGTCGGTCCCGACTCGGATTCCCAGGCTACGCCCACACGGATGAGTCCCCCGATGTGTGCTTTGTAAATGCTGTTCACTTCCAGAAATGGGACGAGAACTCGGCCCAGTCTGTGTGGCACAGCTGCTGACCAGCGGCACCGTACCTCGGTCACCGTCCCGGGAAGAGACGTAAGAGACGGCAGGCCCGGCACTCGGGGCTCGAAGCCCTGCAGCCCCGCCCGCCCCGGGGCTGCTGCGGCACAGGGGCACCGCTGTGGGCGCCGCTGTGGGCGCCGCGGACGTGATGCATGCAAACGGCCCCAAACAGGCCTGGCACATACGCGGCGTGCTACCAGGGTGACCGTCACTCATTGCCTTTCGGATGTCCTCCCACACAGGAGGAGGAAGCCAGTCCCAGTCTGGTCTGTGAATCTGCAAGCGGTGTGGCCTCTGTCCTCAGCATCTCGTCTGCCAGGGGCACGCTGACCAGCTCCCACGGGGGAGACCGCCACGCCTGCACGGCCGCCTCGGACAGGACAGCGGCGGCGACCGCAGGGCTGCGCCCGTCAGGGCCACGGGGCGCCCCACCGGAACCGCTCCCCTCGCTCTCGCATCTGACAGGGCAGCTCCACCTCCCTACACCAGCGCGGACGCGGCGACCCAGCCTGGGCCGCACACACTCCACCTGTCCCTGCTTCGAAGCCGCTCGCCCCTACCCTACTCACGCGGCTGCCCAAGGCCCGCGAAGCGTCGTGAACGTTCTCACTCGTGCACGAAACTGGCCCAATTAAAAGACGTCCGACCTCGCTGCAGCCGCAGAAGAGGAGGCGGCCCCTCCGCCGCCCGCGTCCCGCCGTCCACGTCCCGCCCTCCACTGCCTCCTCCAACTGGGCTCCGACACAACGTGGGGCCCACAGAGCGCAGGCGTCAGGCTCCATCCCAACGTGCTGAAGACTCTCCGGCCCGCCCACCGGTCCCCCGGCTCGTGTCCCCGCGGCAGCACAGAACGCAGTGTGGCCAGCCCACGAGGGGGGCAGAGAGCTGCTCCCCCACTCTCCCTGCGACCCGAAGGTCTGAGCTCGGAGCTTGTGGCACAGGACCGACCCCCTCACACCCCATCTCCTGACCTCTGGGCCCGGCCCTGCTTTCCCCGCCCCGCTCTCCCCCTTTGGGTCCCTGCTGCAGTGTCACTTCGGCCAGAGGCCCTCCCAGACCAGGGGACGTGCCCGACTCGGCGAGTGCCTTGGCTACGTGCCCCTGACGCAGGCTCCGTTTCTGCATCTCTGAATCCAACACCCGAAAGCACGCTTCACCGCTCACGTTCCCCTGACGTCCAGCATAACCCCGATGCCACCAAACCCGGCTTCTGCCTGCTCCAAGCCAGGCGCAGGGGACGCAGGTACGAACCCGCGGCAGGTGCAGCCAGGCTTCAAATCATGCTGCGGCGCTCATGTTTACCTAAGTCCGCGCCTGTTTCGTGTGTGAAACGGAAAACATCAGACTCTCAAGTGTCCAAAACTGAGGAACCTCTGAAGTCACGCGCACTTCACAGACCGGAAACCATGGTCCAGACCAGGTCCCCAGACTAGAACCCCAGGTGGGGACCCGCAGACCGGGCCCCCAGCCCGGCCCTGGCAGGGCGGCCTAAGGCACCTTCGGGGCCCCGCTGGCCCCCCGCCTGCCGCATCCCAGGCAACAGGGGCTGTTTCCACAGATAGGGCCCCTCGTCAGCACCCCACTCGGAGGGCAATGGGACTGCAGAGGGGCCGAGCCACACAGCTCCACCTCCGTCCCGCGGGCGTCAGCGCCCCACGGAACCTCGACGCCGGCACCTGGGACCCCGGCCGCTGCTCCGCGGGAAGTGCTGGCTCCTGCAACACAAGGATCCTTTGCTCCAGCCGCGAACTCGCGAAGCTCAGCCGGCCGTGTCATCACAGGCGACATGGTACAGGTATTTCTCCTGTGTCTCGGCCACCGCCCAGCTCTGTGTGAGCGTGAAGCTGACTGGGGAGCAGAGGACTGGCTCCCACTCCGGGTGCTGGTGGCTCTCGTCACCCTGCCCCCACCGCATGTGTCCGCCCACACGACTGCTCCTGTGAGAGCAGGACCGAGGCCAAGCAGGCCCTCCAACCAGGACGAGGACGTGCTCTCTGCCCATGTCACGCCAACACCCTGGCTTACCCGCCCCTCAGCGTGCACTTATGCATTAATGTGTACACAGGTCGAGTTCAACACGAGAGTAAGAGGCTGGCAAGAGCACTTGACTCTGGATATCTGGACGTGTCATTTTTCCTGCGTATGATGATGATGCTCTGACAGCCTAAAACCCGTCCTGGCTGAGGAGAGACGGCCCTCCCAGCGAGCCAGTCCCTACGGACAGCGCAGGGCCCGGCCCCCCAGAGCCAGCCCTCCCCCACCTGCCCCGCACCCGGCAGGCGACACTCCTCTGAGCCACCAAGGCCAAGCACCCAGCGACCACCCCGTAGCCTGGAGCACCCAGCATGACCCAGGGCAGCCGACCCCGAGTGTGCACCGGCCTGCCTGCCTGCCCGTGGGAGCCCAGGAGGCCGAGGCCCACATCGCCCCACTCCTGTCTTATGCCTCCCAGACCCCTGGTGCTGCCTTGTGGGGTCTGGTGTGGTCCCCCGCCCGGGAGCTGAAAACGGAATCAACCTTGTTTTCCTGAGTGCTCCTGTGTCTCGCTGGGCTGCACCTGACCGGCTCATAAAGAACACAGAAAAGCCTGCTTCTGCAGCCAGCACCTCCTAGCCCCCGGCCGGGCACTGTGACATCCACAGGGCAGACTGACTTCCCGTGACCTCAAGTGCCGGGAGATGAGTCGCACTGTCGCGTTTGGGCAGAAAGCAGCTTTGCCATCAAGAACTTACCAGTCACCCATCAAAAGTGCTGCTCTGCACAAAACCGTGACCTCTGCTAAAATGTGGCCTCCTGATAAGATTTCTTCCTGTGCTTCTCAAGCTGGTCATGAGACTGGTTACAGTTCCCGTTTCGCCACGACTGCATCACCATGCTCTCGGCCCAGCCACCTCGCTGCTGTGGAGCCTCTGCCGTCAGAGGAGAGTCCCCGTGACGGTTACTAAGACAATTGCCCAAGTTGACCCAGTGGAGCGGTCAGTTCCTGTGCTGTTTTAGGAAGGTCTGGGGGTGGGGGCAGGAGGCACTCCAGGTGCTAGGACCAAGGACTCAGAACAGCCCAGCTAGTGGGTTCTGACCTTGGTTCTGCTATTTGGTAGTTAGTCTCTAAGCACACGAAGCCCAATGTCTGAGTGTGGGAATCATCATCTGCAGAAATGCAGAACAGTGGGTGTTGGGTACCGACGTGAAGCGCCAGCTACGTGCCAGGCACACGCAACGAGGTCACTGCATCTTCACGAATACGTGACAGTCTCCAACTGACGTGGAGCGCCCAGGCTCAGTCACCCGCCCGCATCAGGAAGCTGCTCACTCGGTGGGGGGAGGGGGAACGAGGAGAGGGCCTCGGCACTGCCCTGTCCCGCATCCTCCACACCTGCGGAAGCTGCCTGGGCGGGGGCCACCTGCACGTGTTCTGCCCTCGGAGCCCTGGAGCGGCAGGGCAGTACCTGGTGCCCAGGCCCTAAGGCAGGTGTGACACTGCTGCATGGCACCTCCTCCTGCCAAGGTGTCCCCACTGTTAGACCCGATGGCTCTGAGGTGGGACGGTTCAGTCACCCCCTTCCAGATAGCAGGTAAGGATCCTCCCCGGGCCTTTAGGAGGGGTGAAGTGTGAGCCAGACACAAACACACCACGCCCTCGTGATCCTGGGGCAAACCCCGAAAACGGACCACTGCGGATCCTTTCGTTCATCCCCTCCTCTGACCTCCCTGTGGCTCTCAAGCACTGCGTCCCCTCCACGAGGTCCCAGGGCTGCCTGAACCCCGCGTCCCAGGCCCGCTCCCACGAGAGTGCAGCCGGGAACCCCAGAGAGGCAGCACAGGTGGGGGTGGCAGAGCTCATCCTCTGTCCTCTCACTGGGTCGCTCATCCTAACCACATCCCTCTTGTCTTAAGTGACACAGGGGACAGGAGTCACTGCCATGCCCCTCACCGCAGGACCCAACGTAATTCACAACTGGAGTCACCGCCCCCTCCCCAGGGACAGGTGGGGCTCGTGCTGTCTAAAGCCCAGGCGTCCAGCCTCTTCATCTCCAGTTGAGGAACCCTGGTGGGGCCGCGGCCCAGAGGGAAGTGACCCATCCTGGCTCTCTTCAGGACGTCCTTGTCCTTGCAAAAACCTGCTACAGCCCTCACCCCAGTCTTTCTTTGATAAGACTCTGTGGCTTGCACTGTCCCAGTGCACAGACCAGGCCCTTCCCTAGAGTGACAGGGGTGCTGGTCCCTGCGCTGCAGTGTGACTGCGCAGCCTCCGGGACGGTGGCCCTCTGACACGCATCTGAGTTCACTGGGGGACAAACCGCTGTGGACGCCAGCACGTTCTGCTTGCTTAAGATAACCGATCCGAAACTTGGAAATGAAAACAGAGAAAAAAAGGTTGTGTGCTTTCGTGCTTAGCAAAGCCCCCAAGGCTCAGGTGACCTGCCGAGGGCGTTGGATGACAGTTTCCCAGGGGTGGGACCCAGACGGTTCAGTCTGCGGAGCCCGAGGCCACCTGGCGACACTGATACGGGCGGCAGGCTCCTTTGCACCCAGCAGAAGAGATAACGCCGGGCTGTCGCTGCGGGTGTCACTGCAGGCGGGGTGTCACCCTCGGCAGTCACCCGGGCGCTCATCTCCGCATCCCTGTCATCCCGGCTCTTCGGCACCCGCTTGGTCAGGCTCTGTCCACCTGCTGGGCCGGGCCGCCCATCAGCGCTAGGCCGCCCGCGCTGTGTGCGGAGAACTCTGACAGCTGCTCAGGCGACCGAGCCCCGACAACGAAGCCCG